AAGAAGTGTAATACTAAGATGATCCAATTCATCCGGAAGAGATCCAATGAACAATATAGCTTTATGTTCATCTTCGAATGTTTCGTCCAAATTTAACAAATCGACAATTAATTTGTTAAATGTATCAATATGGCTACTAATATTCCTACCTGGTTTCAACTGAAGACGAAACAATCTTTTTATCAAATAGAGTCGATTCTCATTACTTCTTTTCATGTATTTGTTTTCAACCACCTTTCCATAACTTACTGGCAGATGTCTCTTTCATGAATGAATATTTCTGCTTTCTACAAAGACATGAGTGAATCATTCCACAAGCTTTTACATTCAACCTCATCCAGTCTTTCTCATAGTGATCTTCTGGTTTTTCTTTCTCCAGAATGATATCTAGATCTTGCTGATAGAAGTTATCCATTACCTTACTCTGCCACAGGCCAAAATTATTTTGACCATCAAATTTTTCAACATCAATTTTTACATTTGTAACCGCTATCATCTTTACTAGCGCAGATGGTGATGCTGCAGACAGTGATGCCTCAAACAATGAATCCTTGGACGATGATGCCATTTGTGTCTTACTCAATTGACTTGGTAAACAAAGTTCCCAATTACCAAGCTCCACAAATTATTGTATTCAATAGCTAACCAACAAATCAACTATAGCCCAAGGTAGTAGTAAGTGCTGAAATGATTCAATATGCACCAAGAAAATTCCCAGAAAACAATGGAGGGGTCACAAATGGTCCCACTTAAAATCCAGTCTCCTTAGACTCTTATCGCCTTATTGACAGAATTTTCCCAAACATGCATATAACCATACAAATAGCTACTCACTATCCTAAACCTAGACTCTGACACCACTTGTTATGCAAATGAAACATAAACTCTAACGCTAGCTATTTAAATATAATAATAACAACTACTAAAGCACGATTAAACGGCCAAAATAAATGCAAAAATAAAGAATAGCAGAAATTAACGAGGTTCAGTATTATAACCTACGTCTTTGGGCACTGCAAAAGAAAACTTCACTATCTCCAAAGAATATTACAACTTTTTGGATAATACTACAAATACCTAAACTATATGGGCATAAAAACAATTACCCAAAACAAATGGGAGATACAATAAAACTTTTCAACTAAAGTGTCCTTAATGAAAAAACCCTATATAAGAGGGGTGTAATGGAAATATAATTTTGGATGCTTATAACTATGGCTTAGGTCCTTATATATAGGCCCCAAAAGTTACCCCAATATGTAGGACATACTAGCCTTTAGCCTATTTTATATAAGTCCATAAACCTTTCTCCATTTTCACTTCTATCCCGCGTGAGATTTTGCTAAATGAGTCATTTTTCTAACAGTTAACTCAATCCATTTTGAAGTTAACTCAATCCATTTTGAAGATGAAAGAATTGTATTACACAAAGCGTCTGGCAGGATACCTTCAAGAAGTGCAGAGATCTAACAGAGAATTTGTAATCAATGTGGTGTTGCTGAACCCACTAGGTTAAACTATAGCAGTACTCCAAAGTTGACATTGTTCAATTATTGATCAATTTTTTTTCATTGTTTAATAGTAATTGTACGGTGGATTATTTTTCATCATAATTAGCTCTTTTTTATTTTAGATGATTTGTATCCATTTGTATATGACAAATCCTTTAAAAATAACTACAACCATAATTAGCAATCCACCATTACAAGGGCAAATCAGCAATAGTTCTCAAATTGTAAGGGATTTTTAGTAATTTGATTAGCGTGAGGACACGAAAACTTCTAACCAGGCCCCTGTGGTTTGGATTCCTCATCCTTTTTCTTGTTTTCTGCATTTCAACAAAATACATCAATTAATTTTTATTACAAAATGAAGATGCATTAACCCATTAAAAATAAAAATCATTGAAAACAAAGAACAATAGGCAATTAAGCTCACGACATGGGTTAGCGTGATATTACGATAGTTGATTTTTTGGCTTGTTGATACGTATAGCGCAGCCTAGAGTGAGTGTTGCGAGCTTCGGATGACGATGTATTGATAGCTCGACAGCAAGCGAGCTCAAAAAGCTCCTCCAAAATACAACCAAAGTTAAATAAATAAATATAGTAGCCTATTCACTCACGGCATAAAGGCAAAACCACCGGCCAAGTGTCTCCAAAATGTAAAGGCAAAGCTATCGATTTCGGAATTCACCACCAAGTTTGGCAAGAACTCGGATAAAGGATAGGGATAAACTCAGGTTTCAAATTTTCATTAATGATCAAGTCTGAATATTACATTGAAGATTCGACTTTAAATATGACCTTACACTTGTGCGAAATAGAAGACAACAATTAAAATCATTAATCATAAAACATATCAAAAGGCTAATCTTGGTTGTCTCTTCCTAGAGTTAGCTGATTTGAACAAGCAATCTATGACTTCCCAAAAGAAGAAGCGGACAAGGAGCCACCCAAGTGGTCAACTTGTCTTTGCCAATTCGAGAAATTCTTGAGCAGCCCATGTCATAACCTTATCTTTTCATTGAATGGATTCATGTGAACCCATGTGCCCTTGGTTGACTTCATTGGGATTGTTTCCTTTCCATATAATCATATTGACGCCAAATGAAATGTTTGAACCGGCTGGATTCAAGCTCTCATGAGGTGAGCTCAGATATGGTGAGCTTGCATAAGGTCCGCTCGCATGGGTTGAGGTCGAGCTCTAAATTCGTATCACTTGTAATCACTTAGTGTGGTGCCTAAGTTAGTTAGCATAAAATTACGCTAACTTAAATTTTACTTCTTTCCCTTAGTGTTAAACTCAAAAGAGTTAGTGTGATATCACACTAACTGAATTTAGGCTAATAATCACTTATCGTACAAGCCAAAGTTAGTTAGCTTAGCATAATACCACGCTAACTCATTTTAAGCTTATGTCATCTAGTGTACAATTTCAAAGTTACCATGTATGGTTAAGCGAATTGGATAATCCATTTGGTGATTATCCAATTAGCCAAATTGGAAAAATCTACATGAAGCATCATGTTAGCCGATCTTTCTCCAAATTCAAGCCAAAAACACAGAAAACACTTTAATATACAATCAACAAACACTCAACCCAACACCCAAATACACAATCTTTATTATGTGAAATATCGAAATAACACAAACCTCTAACCACATCAAAACTAATTTGATTGTTATTAGAATAAAACCTAAACCCTAAGTTCTTCCAAAAAATTTGTTGACTCAAAGAGTCATCATTCTCTTATTTTGATGATAACAAACTAATATGTCTCTAAGTATATTAGCTAATGAATTTTCCTTAAGTGTGTACTTAGATGGCAAGGAAGTTTCTCAAGGCATTAAAAAAGCTTATCAAGAAGGGAAAATATAAGCTTGGATGAAGAATCTAAAAGATTTCAAGATGCTTAGTCTAGATATATAATTTTCTTGTACTGGTTTCACTTGTAAAGCATTAGTCTTAGTTAGAATTGATATTAACATATGAAAGCTCTCAAAAAAGGTTTTTGAGTTTTTCAAATTTGGGCTAAAATGTCACTTTTCAAACCTATGGGGTTAAAATAAAATTTGATATTTTCTAGTTTAACCCATCCGATCAACCAAACTGTGCATCCGAATTCTGGGTTTTAACTTGGGAAAAAGTAGTATTCTAAAGTTTGGGGGGTTTCTGGATTTTATTTTGCAACCAAAATATCATATTTGAAAGTTTAGGGGACAAAATTGTATTTGCTCAATCCATTGGTCGTTTGGTTCAATGTGCGAGTTGGGCAGAAGCCATAATTTTGGGCTCTACCAATCTAGTCGACCAGTTTGACATTTTATTTTCCCAACAGCTAGTGCCACATGGATGCCATGTAGGTGCCACATGGACGCCATATAGGTGTCATGTCAAATCTGATCAATTAGATTCAAGGCAGTCGATTGAATTATGTGATTTTCAAGTTCTACTTTTAGTTACAATGGCTATATTTTTGTACTCCCCTATATATAAACTCAACTTTTACGAGGGTATTTTGAGAAAGAAGCCATTATTTGGATTTAAATGTATAGGGTTTGAAAAAGTGGTTAATAACATAAAACCACCCAACTTTTGATTATTTTTAATACCCTAAAATGATATTTGAGTAAATATAAGTTTTCAAATATAAATATGGTGAGAATTATTAGAATATATTTTCCCGATGTTTGCTATTTGTTTCTCTTTTTTCTTTTTCACAATTTTTAAATATTAAAACATTGCTTCTGTTTTCTTTTTCTCTTTAAGTTTTTTTCTTTTTTCTTTTAATGGTAGATATTAAAATTAAGCTTTTTGTTCGATGTACTTGATTTTTAATATGTAAAACTTCTATCATAATTTAACAAAAAAAAAAAGTTTCAATGCATGATCTAGAAAAACTAATTTATGTTTTTTGTTGTCATCTATAATGAATAGTAAATGATGATATATTTTTCCCAGGTCAGCTTGCTCGCATCTCAACTAGTTTTTTGAACTCTGAAGTTAATGGTTGAGTAAACCTCCAATAGCCACCCTTATTAGCGACCGCTGAGATTCGAACTTAAGACGTCTTGAATAATTCACTCAAGAGTCTCTATCGCACCACCCGATCAAACAGAGGTGGTTCGCAATAATATATTTTTGTGATAGTGATTACTTTTACATATTGATTTTTGTTTATTAATATTATTTTTACAATCCTTGGACTGAGGATTGTAAAAATGTCAAAAATGAAATGTTGGGTAAATGAGATGAGGAGGAAGATAGGAATGTCTTTAGATATGATATGATATGATATGATATGATATGATAGAAGAAATTGTTGGCTAGGGGTGGGCTGAATAAGAAACTTCCACGTGTAACAGGCGGAGATTTCGTGTACAGCAGTTACTTAAAATGAGATGTTTTTTTATTTTTTATGGCGGTGTTAGCTGTATGGCTATCAAATAAATAACAAAAAAATAAAAATAAAAAAAAGGGCAACAAATACATGTACACCACTCGAAATTGGAGCCAATATCTGTTCCAGCCAATGCCATCTCTTCCTTCCATATCTCTTACCATTAAATAAACTATTATTACACTCCCTTTGAAATCAACGTTCTTTGTTCTTGTTCAGCTCAACCAACAACACCAGGTTTGCTCTTCCTTTCAACTGCATTTCTTTTTTTAATTAAACATATCATAACTTTTACTATTTTACTGTACGACCATTCAATTCAATTCTAATTAAACTAGCATGCGAATGTGATCTTCGTTTTTTACTTTTCTTCTTGCTTTATTGTTTCTGTAGAGTAAGTTTTCCTCATGTAATTATGTTTTGCATCATTCTCTAGTTACTAATAATGGGTTGGTATTTCTATTATATATATTTCACTTTAGGATTTTCATGAACTGGGTACTGTTTATTTTGGCTATATATTTTATTGAAGATTCTGAATACCCTTTTTATTGAAGTGCAGATTAAGTACACATAAGAACATTTTCATTGAGAGCCTAGTATATAAAAGAGCTGAGGAATTTGTGTGATATATTTATGATTCTACAATTTTGTTGAATTGTGTGATGGTAATATTGAGTGCAAGAGCAGAAGCCATATGATGACCACGGCTGCTGTTATTGGACTTAGTACTGGAAAGAGTCTCTTGAGTTCCTCCTTTTATTATTCTGATCTAACAGAGAAGTTTTCTCACATCAATGATCACGGATCACCACATTATCTAGTTGGTCCAACAAAAAATGCGGTTGCCGCCAAAAAGTCTTCCAATTATAGTCCAAGTTTTCCATCTTCCAATCGACATACTCAGTCCATTAAGGCTGTGAAAGAACACGTAGATGCTAACTGTGCTTCAACTGCGGAGGCGTGGCTTCAGAGGTCTGATGACTTAGAAGAGGAAAGCTCCGAGTTTGACTATTCAGTGGAGGCACTTCTGTTGCTGCAAAAGTCTATGCTTGAAAAGCAATGGAATCTTTCTTTTGAGAGGACAGTGTTAACTGATTCATCAAGTAAAAAGACTTACAAGAAGATACCTGTCACATGTTCTGGATTATCAGCTAGGCAAAGGAGAATGAATTCAAAGAAGAAAATATTGTGCCAGAGTAAGTCAATGATACAACAAAATGGCCCTAATCAGCTAAGGTCTGTGATTAGTCCAGAGTTGCTTCAGAGTCGTTTAAAAGGTTATGTAAAGGGTGTGGTGAGTGAGGAGCTACTCACCCATGCAGAAGTTGTGCGTTTGTCAAAGAAAATCAAAACTGGCCTTTCCTTAGAGGAGCGCAAATTGAGGTAATAAATAAATTTCACTTTCTGCTGACCTCTTAAATGGTTAGCTATTTCTTAGGTGAAGATGGTTTGATTCTTTAAGTTGGTATTTCTTAGTTTATTCTATCTATATTTTGGTTTCACTTTGTTAGGAGCTCTACACTTTCTACTAATTTTGTATTTGAAGCATTTTTTTTGCATATAACATTTGAGTGGCAATTACTTTCATGGTTATGAAGTGCAAATTGATTGTAGCAACATAATATTTTTTGGAAGAAAGAACTAAAATCCCTTGTTTTGTGCATAAAAAGGAGGAAGATTAGGGGAGCTATATATCCATTCCTAAATTTTACAATTTCTAACTGCCTGTCGTTCTGAATGGTCTTGTTGCTTCAAGAGTTTTCCTTTAGAAGAACAGAAAAAGGCTGATGTTATAATAAACTTATTGGTACACTTTCTGATTTTTCAAATGGTATTGTAGATTGAAGGAGAGGTTGGGATGTCAGCCCTCAGATGCACAACTTGCAGCTTCCTTGAGGATTTCTCGCACTGAGTTACAGTCAACATTGATTGAGTGTTCACTGGCAAGAGAGAAGCTGGTGATGAGCAATGTTCGTTTGGTCATGTCTATAGCTCAACGATATGATAACATGGGTGCTGACATGTCAGACCTTGTGCAGGTGATTTTCTTTATCTGGACAAGAAATAAAGACCAATATACTCTTATTGTCCCACTACATCTAAAACAGAATCGTCTATTTTCTGATATGTAACATATTCTATATTATTCATGTAGGGTGGGTTGATTGGATTATTACGTGGGATTGAGAAATTTGATTCTTCAAAGGGTTTCAAAATATCAACTTATGTGTATTGGTGGATACGCCAGGTAGGGCTGATGTTTTGCTGTTGTAAATCATTAAAGCTTTGTTAAAGATTAGATACAATCATGATTGTCATTTATTGAAAACTAACTAAAGTTCTCTCTGATCATTGGTAACTTCAAAACAATTAAAATTTTCAATGACCACATTTAAGTTCTTCAGTTTTATCTACAAGTTTATCATGACTGAAAGTCTGAAACAGCAAGTTGTTCATGTGGTACAGTTTAGTTTTTGAAAAGATAGGTGCCCAGTAGTAGGCTTAAGGAGGATAATCCTTTCCGAAGTTGATTCCTTAACAGCCATATCCTTTATCTATCTTTTTAGATCGTTGCAAGTTTAACAGTTGCTACGTCCCTACACCATTCTTTTGAACTGGCATTGGTGAATTTTCAATTCATTTGTCTGTCCTTCTTTTCGGTTATTCAGTTATGCTATTCAATTTGCAATAGTTTTGTCTCCTGTGTTATTTATTCTTTTTTTGTTAGTAATGGTGCAAAGCTAATGCTGGTTTACGTGATGTCGTGATCTATGCCAGGGGGTTTCTAGAGCATTAGTTGAGAATTCCAGAACCTTAAGATTGCCTAATCATCTGCATGAAAGGTTAGGTTTAATCCGGAATGCAAAGGTTAGACTGGAAGAGAAAGGAGTAACACCATCAATTGATGTAAGTTGATTATTTAACTGTGATCAAAAGAAACGAATTCTGTTCTTTATGTTTTGGCTGTCAGTGAACATACTTAACAGTCATAGTATTTTATCAGATGTTAATTTTTTGTAACATAGTTTTGTTCTCTTTTCTTTGTTGCTTGCCATGTTTTCAGAGAATTGCAGAATACCTAAACATGTCTCAAAAGAAAGTGAGAAATGCTACCGAGGTACCAACTGCTTAAGAGTTCTTTTGCAGTTACGTATGTAATTATATTTTGCACTACTGACTGCAATTTCACTAAATGCAGGCAACCAGTAAGGTTTTCTCACTCGACAGGGAGGCATTCCCCTCGTTAAATGGCCTTCCCGGCGAAACCCATCATAGTGTAAGTGTACAACTAAGTTTCTGCAAGTTCTCTCAAGAAAATTTTAGTGCAGGCTTTGTTTGCCTCTTTCCCATTGTGAATGACCATTTTTTCTATATCATTTCAGTACATTGCAGATAATCGTGTGGAGAACAATCCATGGCATGGAGTAGATGAGTGGGCTCTCAAGGTAAAGAATTAATTGAAAACTTTTTAACCAATCAAACTTGCCACTAATAACTAAAGGTTTACTATAACACAGAAATGTAAATTTAGGTGAATTATTTTCCTATTATTCATCCAAATAAACTATTTAGCTTATCTTAATTGGATGATAAACTTATTATTTTAGGCTGGCCTGAATAGATTCCTTTTCAGCATGATCTAGGGGTTTAGGGGACCAATTTATTCATCTACAACGTTTGATAGGAGGCTATTCAAACAAAGCAATACTTTGCTGGAAAACTTCTTTTTAACATATATTTTATACTCAAAATAAACACTATCATCTATTGTANTCAGTACATTGCAGATAATCGTGTGGAGAACAATCCATGGCATGGAGTAGATGAGTGGGCTCTCAAGGTAAAGAATTAATTGAAAACTTTTTAACCAATCAAACTTGCCACTAATAACTAAAGGTTTACTATAACACAGAAATGTAAATTTAGGTGAATTATTTTCCTATTATTCATCCAAATAAACTATTTAGCTTATCTTAATTGGATGATAAACTTATTATTTTAGGCTGGCCTGAATAGATTCCTTTTCAGCATGATCTAGGGGTTTAGGGGACCAATTTATTCATCTACAACGTTTGATAGGAGGCTATTCAAACAAAGCAATACTTTGCTGGAAAACTTCTTTTTAACATATATTTTATACTCAAAATAAACACTATCATCTATTGTACAAATTCATCATTATCTATATTATTGGGAATGTAATTTCAAATTAAGAATCAACCATACTCTGGAATATAAATGTGTTAAGCTATGATCTGCTGATAATTTATATTTCAATTGATTTATGGTTGCATACATTCTGTGGTTTTGTGGTGCAGAATTTTATTTTTTAAACTAGTATGTTAATAAATGTGTTTGTTAAACTGAAAATTGTCCCTACTTGGTAGACATAAGTTTAATCTCATCCTTTTATCCTAAATTCTATCTTGTGCTTTGTCTTTTTTCAATCAAATTCGATATCACTGTAAAATACTTGTGATCTTTAAGAAATTCAATTAAATTTCCTGATACTATCGTTCTGAAACTCTCTTCATGTTGCCAAACGAAAAGAGCTTTAACCCTCCCCTCTCACCATTAAAAAATATTATTATGTGCCCTTCCCGGAGCTATGAATCTTCAAAGTGCTTTTGATGAACATTTGTGTTCTACGCAAGTGAAGAGAACAAACTAATTATATTATTGCAGGATGAAGTAAACAGGCTCATTACAGTGACACTTGGAGAACGTGAAAGGGAAATCATACGTCTTTACTACGGTCTTGATAAGGAATGTCTTACATGGGAGGATATAAGTAAACGGTGAGTAACACAAGCTTGATTGCTAGATGAGCATAAATAAAATACGATGTATGATAATTGCTTAGGCTGCCAAGTGTTTCACCTATTATGGTAAATTCTTCAGAGACACCTCAATGCGTCTCTCCTATAGAAAGCAAGTACAATAGAAAATGTTTATGTTCTTCCAAGCTATGTGACAGATCAAAAAGAGAATGTTAACCTAATTACATATATAGGGTGGAAGCACCTTCTTATTGCAGTATTCATTTTCTCTTGAATACCATACAATATATTTATCAAAATAGTTATAGCTTTCTGAACGAACCATCTCTATCTTGTTTCTGCTTATAATTCAAATTTCAATTTTCATTTACAAAAAGAGTATACATGCAACTGGTATCAATGATAAAAGGTGTTAAATGATGTTTTTTGCATGCATAATAACTGCACATTTTCCGTTTGTTACACTGATGATTTGACAATGTTGTCAATTAAATTCTTCAGAATAGGTTTGTCGAGAGAAAGAGTTAGGCAAGTTGGACTTGTGGCTCTAGAGAAACTAAAACACGCAGCGAGAAAGAAAAAGATGGAGGCCATGCTTGTGAAACATTAGTTTAGTAAGTTTCATTATAGACATGGTTTGATGAGTAAATTATTGTATATACATGTATACAGAAAGGAAAGCTGTATCTTGATTTATTTTTTGAATCAGGCATAACAATAGAAAATTTAATTAAGGAGCTACCTCCATAAACTTTCTGTAACATTATTAAACACAGATTAAGAGATATTTGTAAGTTACGAAAAATTTTCATGTATTGAATATCTAGAAGAGATAGTCTCTGCTCTCTGGATTACTTTCTGGGTTTATATATAAGCCAAGATAATACATTCAGTAATTCCAGTTTCATTTATTTGGAAAATTGGCAATGTAATGATCTTACAATAATTTTGAATAGTTACATCTCATTAAAATTAGTTGATGAGATAAGCTACTGAATTAGTTTATGATCTAGACTCTGATAGTTTTCTTCATATTTGTATATCAATGGATTTTTAATAGTTGGAATTACATTTAATAATTCTCCTTCCTAGTAATGTAAACTTCAATTATCATCTCAGTTATTATTAGTACATTAACCAATGGCTTATTGATCATATCTTATCAAGTATGAGTGTTTTGGTAACTAAAATAATCATGTGTACATGTTTTTTTGTGAACGGATTGAATTTAAGATTCATGTTAACCTTCATTCTCGTGTTCCTTATTCATGTATTTATAATATATATGCACTATTTTTAGATTCAACAAAAAGTTTTTTAGTTTGATTAATTGCCTTGATGTGTGTTTTAACCTTCATATAAATAATGGGAGAATTTCATAAGTTATGCTTAAAAGCTATTTGGATTGGGGGTAAATAAGATAACGAATCGTTTATTTTACAAGATTCCTGTGTTTAATTTACAAGTAATAAAATATTACGGGAATATTTTATTACAAATAGTGTTTACTATTGGTAATGTGAAGAGTAATCTTATTATCTTGTTAGGGAGTGTTGTTAAAACATTATCGAGATAATATAATTTTTTTACCCATTTTGCCCTTAATTAAAAACCATTTCGGACACAATTACCCTTAAATGTCTATCAAATAACAATTACCCGGCCCTCATACATTTGAGAATAGCTAAAACACTCTAGTTACAAAAAAGTTTAAAAGTTAACAAAATACCGTCAGTCACCTAAAACCACCGCCGGTCGTGACTCACCACATCGACCACCAACGTCAATAATCGTAATGGTGCACGACCGGCAGAATCTAACCGGTCGTGCGCCAGTAAGGCCATTTGCGAAAACGGCCAAATCTAGCGTTTCTATGGCCGCTTCACGGCCAAAGATGTGGCTGTGAAATGGCCACAGATCTGGTGATGAAAAGACAAGATCCACGGCTAGATCTTTGACTATGAAATGGCCATAGATCTGGCTGTTTTCGGTTTTGCCAGCGCAAGGCCGGCCATATACGGCCAGTCGTGCACCATTTCATCGATTGCTGGCGATGGCCAACGTTGGTGGCTGGCTACCGGTAGTGGCTTAGGGTGGGTGGGGATGATTTTGCTACAAATTAAAATTTTATATGTCTGGGGTGTTTTAGCAAAATTTCATATGTAGAGAGTTAAAAAAAATTATTCAAAAAATAATAATAAATACTATAATATTAATATTTAAGAAGGAAGGCAATTTAGTAATCTATATAACATACTCACCCATTTATCCTTCCAACCAAATATATTATTCACCAATTTATTCGAACCAACCAAACATATTTTCTAAACATTCTCAATAATCTTCAAAGTGATATTTCTTTCTGTTAATATAATATGCCCTTGTAATAAAACATTATATAATTTAAACACCCCCTTAAGGTGTGTTTTAGTTCAAGGAATATTGTATTACTGGGAATATTATATTAATAGAAAGATAGATTACCTTAAAGATTACGAGGAATGTTTAAGGAGATATGTTTGATTAGTTGAAATAAATTTGTGAGTATATTATATTAATATATCTATTTGAGAAAAATAAATTAATGGATATATTATATTAATTACTAAATTGCCCTCTTTTTTAAATATTAATATAATATTATTTTATTATTTTTTTGAATAAATTTTTTAACCCCTTATATTTCAAATTTAGCTAAAACACCCCAACAACAAAAAAAGTTTAAAACTTAACAAAAACACTCCCACCCACCTCAAGCCACTGCTGACAGCCTGCCACCACCGCTGGCAGCGACAATAGTGGAGATATGGCCGTGAAAGGGTAGATCTTTGGTCGTGAACTAACCATCGTTTCATGGCCACATCTTTGGCCATGAAACGGCCACAGATCTGGCCATGAAAGGTCGTATCTGTATGTTTTCGAAAACAGCCTTAGTAGCGCACGACCGGCCAAATCTGGTCAGTCATGCGTCATTCCGTCGCCACAGATGATGATGGCCAGATCCAACCACCACCCTTGGGTAATTTTTTTAAATCCAAGGGTATTTATGTCTTAAAAAGTTTGTATATAAGGATAAAATAGTCCATTGGTATTTTTGTAAATTGCTTTTAAAACAAGAACATTATTATCCTAAAATTTTATTAATAAAGGGTAAAACTATAACAAAAATAAGATTACCAAATAATTTTAAAATACTTAAGAAAATTGAGGTAATCAGATTACCTCTTATATTACCAACAGTAATTACTATTGATATTAAAAGATTGTCAGAATCTTATATTACTTGGCAACTAAACGTGGTAATCAAGTAATATAAAATAATATTACCTCAGTAATCTTCTATTACCTCTAACCAAACACGCTCTTAAGGTTTCATTCAAATAACAACTTTTTCATTTTTCTCTTAAATATACCCTCAAAGTTTTAAAACTATATCATTGATATCCTTTTGCCCTAAACTCCATTATTTTGTTATTTGCAGTAAATGGGTGAAATAGAAACATTGGTCTTATAAGAAAGTATTGCTATAAAATTGTGACCTTACTTTTAAGAAAGTATTTTGTAAACCTACAAAAATTTAACAAAGGGCAAAGAGAGATCTAAAATAAAGTTTTTCAACTTTGAGAGTTCATTTGATAAGACAAAGGGACATCCATGATACAGTTTTGAAACTTTTAAGTCTATTTGCCAAAAAGTGAAAAAATCACCATCCGAATGATAAATTTAGAAACCTTAAGTCTACGATATTCTGCCATTTTTAATTTTGTTTTATATAAAAACTAAAATGTAATTTATTTCATTTAATTAAGGTCTAGCTCATACAAGTTCAAGGGTTTGAATAAGGCCATACTTGACACATTTCTTGAATAATCTGAAAACTTTGTGAAAAAAGCCCATTTACCAACTGTCCTCTTTGCACTTAAACCTTGAATGAGGGAATTAAAGGAAACTCATTTTCCAGTGGGTTTTCTTTTCTCATCATGAAGAGCTTTGTTCTAACATATACACACTAGACTCATTTCAAATATACTTCATCCTGCAATATCATTAGTAAGACTAAGGAGAACACAAGTATTCTTCAAACTTCAACAAGAATATTATGTAAAATCATAAGTATGGATGGGATTAAATTTAGAATGAGAGGGAAATCTTAGAACCGAGAGGATGATAGAATGGAACTTGGAAGACTGATTCATTATTCAGCTAGAGGCTAGAGCTATAAATAGTGAAGAAAGTTCCAATGAAAATCTAATACAGCTAAAGGCTCCACTGGCTTAAAATTTACATTTTTAACCTCCTTTCACATTTCAAAATTTGTCATAAACAGAAACCATTTCATCATCAGTAGTGAATATGTAGAGAAGCAAGGGTTCTTACCAACTCGGTTTGTTTTTGCCTTTGCTTCTAATTGCAATAAGCACATTAGCCTTTGTTCCACACTAGCAAGTGTCCTTCTGCTGCATGTACACTGGTTTTTACACAAACTGAGTTCAGCATCTCACTAAACACTGTCTTCTTCAAAAAAGTCTTTATTTGTATCGTGGCTTTGAAAAAATCCAAGACAGCAGAAGTCATTCAAAAAAGGTACCAAACATAAAGTTTTCACCTTCTCAGCGTGTTATGTGCAAAAAGGATGAAGATTACTTCTTCCCCCATCACATAAAAAGCTACCCAAAGCTAAATTATAATTCATTAAAAAATTTATATAAATGGACTAAACGGGTTGGATAAATTAATTTTAAGTCATGTCATGTCACCCCTCAGATAAATGAGTAGTGTTAAAGTTTTAAAAAACTCGACATAGTTAATCAAACCGTTGACAAAAACCCATTTCTACCCCATTATTGACACAACTGACAACATGTAGACTCAGTTAAGCTGTTTTGCCACCTGTTTATCATTTTGTTCAGGTAAAAAAAATTTCAACAAATCTTTTTACCTTGAGTGGCCACTCATATACTCCATGCCATGGGTTGTATTCCAAGTGATTGATTATCTGCAATGTACTGAAATGACTTGGTCATACACAACTGGGAAGAGGCAAGCTAAGTGCAAAATAAGTTCTTGTAGAGGAACTTACAGAAATATTCTTGACGCTTACAGTAAAATGGATTTCTCCTGTAAGGCCATTTAAAGAGGTGAATGCATCCATACCACGCGAGAAAACCTTATTGATTGCCTGCGGTAAGTGACACTGTACAATGAGTAGTGGCGAGGGTAATTTGCATATAATTGGATGCAACTCTTAAACAGTTAGTACCTCTGTGTCTGTATAAATATTTTATGATTGCTAAGCATGTTCTATGACAGCCAAAACGTAGGGAACATCATTCCTTTCTTTTGATTAAATCTAAAAAAATAAATTGACATCAACCATTCACGTTATTTCTCTTCCAGCCTAATCTTCGCATTCCAGACTAAACCAAACCTTTCGTGCAGATCAGTAAGAAATCTGATAAACCAGCAGTGCATAAAGTCTACACCCTTAAGGGGCGCAAAAGACATTAGGAAGGTTGTTAAAGGAGTAGGGTCCACAAAGTACAGGTGTCATGGGTAGGAGTCTGTTTTGAGAATACAAATTGTGTGAGTAAGGGTAATTGTGAAAAGGGGATTAGTATATATTCAGAGAGAGTAATAGTAGCAAGACAGCTTGATTTTGGTTGATAAAACAGTGGAGGTTCCTGGCTCCTCGAAACGCCAGGGTTTATGTCCAGTTCATTCCATCTTTTATCTGTTCCATTTTTATTCAAACTATTTGATTAATACAAATATTGTTGGGATTGCATTTGCTGTTTCTGGGGTTATTTTTGGTTGTGGATTGATTGTTTGTTGGCTTATTTTGTGTGAGAATTATTGCTGGTTGGTTGTGGATTGATTTTATCTGCAGGTGATCGCATCAATTGGTAT